AACTGTTATGAGCATGATAGCAAATACGATTTCTAAAAATTGGACCTTTGGTATGGGTGTGAAACTATCCCAAACAGTTTTTTAAAAGTTGGTGTGGTCTTCTTTTAAAAAGATACAATGGAGGAGGCACTGCAGATGGTAGGGTCTCAGTTACATTGCTGGGCCCTTTGTGGTTATTAATGCTTACCTGATGATGTACCAGATGCAAAGGCAAAACTGTCTTCTGAGAGACATCTACACCCTGGTTTTTCTGTCTTTTCAGACACTCTAAGTGAAAAGATGCTCTTCGTCCTGAAACAGCAATCACACACAACTGTGTCAATCACTCATATTACACTACAGTTAATCTGATTTAAATTTCTTTTAGTGCACTCCGATTGGAGACACAGCAAAGACAACCACATTTTAGGGTCTGTCTACTTTCCCTCAACACCTTTCTCTTTCCAAAGCATTTGTATTTACAAAAAGCAGTCAAGCATCGTGGACCAACCAGCACTACCTTCCAAGCAATCTGCAAGATAAAATTCTGGATGGTGATTTTTATTTTGCTTCTTTCAAAACACTGTCCTAGTTGATCCCATGCAGCTGATTTCCCTCCTAAGCAGTGGAAGTGTTCTCAGACCTCTCAGACTGGTGATGGCAGCTGAGGCTCCAGTGCTCTGCCTGGCTGTACACAACGTGCAGGAGGGACGTCAGGTTGCTCAGGTGACATCGGCCTCCCGCTTGCATGTGATCTGTGTCCCTTAGCTGCCAGACATACCACAGTTTATGAGCCTGTGTCTATAGCAAGGTCAAGTGGAAGTGAATTAATCAATGATTGAATTCACTGGTGAATGGAAGGCTGTTTATATAGACATGAAGCATTTTCAAAATTTGGAAAGCAGAGAAGAAAAAAAAAGAAAGATTTTAGGGGGAACTATTGAAATAGCCGCATTGTTTACTTGCTATAAAATTAAACTGTACTTCTGTAAATATGAGAAAGGTACTCTCTACACAGGAATTTAAAAGTACTGCAAAGTATGTTTATGAACAAGTGCACAGGCTTTACTTCTGAACAATGGCAAATAAATCCAGTATTAAAGATAAAACTGCATGGCACACTAAAGTATTTTCTGGACTTCTTGGTCCTGTTGACATTTTTCTAACGAAGGAAAGAAAATCAGAATTCTGAAAATAGTAAGTATTTATAATATTGATTGGTTGAGAAAAGGCCCTCTCAGGGGTTGAAGGAGACATGTGTTATAACCCAGAGAACAAATGCTACAATGCAGATAATAGGTATTTCCTCTTTGTTGAGAAAAAAAACTAGTAAAATGAGTATGACATCACTGTGTATATATTCACTAGAACGTAGTTAATGGGGCATGGTGTCAAGGACTGACAGCAAATTTGGCCTTACAGATAGATACAGGAATTGTCATTGCCTAATATTTTAAGTTTTGAAATAAAGTAAATGCTTTTAAAATACTCAATTTTGCAAGCATCCTGAAGGATTTGAGTGAAGACTCAGTAGCCTCACCTTAAACCTTACACTACCTAACCTGTCACTTTTATTTTGTAAGAATATATTTAATATACAGGATTCTTTTTAGTTTCTCCCACAAATGTCCTTTTTCTCCACACCAGTACTCAGGAAAAAGGCTGAAAAATATTCTACATAAAAGAGCTCATTTTCTTCCAGACTCTCACATGTCTCCTGATAAATTAATGGATTTCATCTGAGCGTAGTCTGCATGCTCAAGCACTTGAAAATCTCCAGGTACAATTAGAGCAGAAAGCAAATTTGTATTGTATTAACCTAATCTGAAATTCACCATTTTCCCTGTCGCGGACAAAAGAGACAACCTCTCCTTTCTCCCTGCTGAATACACACAGAACAAAACACCATATACTGAAGGCTAGCCCATTCGGTGACTCCATGGTGATTGTTTGGAGAGTCTACAGTGCTCTAATAAACTCCCCTAATTCACAGGCAGGCTTAATCAAACAGATCACGTGGACTATCCAAACAGCCACAGATTCATCTACTGACTGAGCATAAAGTCAGTAGAGCCATGTGCATGATCAGGATTGTATGCATGCCATGGGATTCCCGGTCTCACGAGCTAAATGCAGCAAACAGCAACACCCGTGCCCACACACGCTGGGATTCCTCCGGCAAGATGCGAGAACTCCGCTGAGGCAGAGGAGAGCACAGCCCGCATACCACGCTGGGATGTTACCTAGTGCTGAGGAGCACAGAAACCCTTTCTTTGGAGAGTGCCGGGTGTCCTCTCCTTTGTTGTTTTCTGGTGGAGTAAGTTGTCTGTTTTCGTCATCTTGGTATGCAAGCCTGGAAAGGAGAACAGAGGGATTCTAGAAAAGTAGCTGGTATTGGACAGAATAACCCTTCTTCCAGCAGGGAAGCCAGGAAGATCATGCTATTAAATGGATGCAATAGCGAGCTAGCTTCGAGCGATAACTGGTCCAGGAGCAATTAAGAGAGACCATGAGACAGAGAACGCACTAAAGATGAGGTCTGGGAACATTAGATGGTAGAAGGGAATGGGAAGGGGGTTTAGCCCTGCAGATCCAGATGTCTCATTCAGAGGAGAAGGAAAATCCTAGGTGAAAGATGTCCTTTTCATGTTACTTCTCAGGGTTGAGCTGCATTTTTTAAAAATTATTTTCTGATGTTTGAGTCGTCTAACTAAAGTCATCTGGCCTTATCCCATAAATAGAATTTTTTTGTAGAAAAATGTCACCTCTTCCCACCTCTCCCCCTTAATTAAAGAACCACCCCGCCACCTTGACTAAAGCTGCAAAGCTCACATTTCGGTAGAGAGCAGACTTGGTTCACTACAGTACTCAATGTCTTCATTCAAATTTTCATCATAAGTCTCTTCCTGAGACACTTCCTCTTGGCAAACAATTGCCAGCTGGCTGTCTCTGGAACTGGAACTAATGAGCAAAAAAGACAAGTCAAGATATGGAGATGGTAAAGACAACCTGTTATAAAGACAAGAATGACAGGCTCCATCTGTCTCAGCTGATTATAATGTTGAAGAGCTATAATAGAAAAACCAATGACTAAACAGAGCTGCAGAGTTCACAAACACAAACAACCTTTGTCTGTGTCCTCTTTCAGAGGAAGAGTTTCTTAAATCAATGCTGAACAATACTGTAAACATATTACTGTAATTTGTGACTACATGTACTCTATAAATGTGCATATCACACCAGCGACATTTCCAAAGATATACCTCAGTGAACTTGAAGTAAAATCTGAAATGGACTCTTGGAAACATAGCTTTTTTTTCCTTGTTGCAAAAGCCTTGGTTACGATTTTCAGAGAAGCCTCCGAGACACTAAGTGACACTCTCAGCCCTGGGGTGTATGGTCTCTGCCTCCCAAATACCTTACTCTGCATGATCTCTCCCCTCTGCCTCTGATTCACACTTTCAGTCCTCGCTGCCTTTTCCATCTTTGATCCCTTTTTTCTCATCACTAACTGCAGAGTACTTCTACTGAATTCCGTAGGATCTCTTTAAACCCTTAAGTATGACAGCCCTTAATTCCCTGCTTGCCTCCTCCTTGTCCCTCTGTTTCATGTCTCAGCCCTCATATTTTGCTTCATTCTGAGTTTCTGTTTTCTGAGGAGTAAAGTAAAATCTGAAGGTAGTGTGAATCTTTGAGATAGCGATATGGAGTTATTGGAGCCAATGTCAGTCTGCTACTAGCATTTGCAGAAGAGAGCAGTGTGGCAGGTTTTTTTCATCTTTCAGGGACTGCATAGGAAACTTTATTTTATCATTTGATTTGAGCAAAAAGCACTAGGACAAATATGCATATGCATGGTATAGAACAGTCTGTAGGACAGTGCTGGAGTGACCTTCCTGCTGAGATGGGAGGCAAGTAAAATTGCTAAGGTGCAGAGAGGAGAAATCAGTAAATGGCAGCTCCCCCTATTCAACAGTCTGTGTTTAGACAAAACCATACAGAATTTTTGTAAGAACATGCCAGGGTGTACTTCACTGTGCTGTGATGAGAGAGTGCCTAGATGTGTGAGCCCAGCTAGAAACTCTAAAAATACCCCAAATCTAAATCCAACTAGAAACAGTCCATCACTACCTGCCTGTGGGCAGAAAAGCCCTGAGTTTGGAGTATTTTCTGAAGATGTCATGGTGATCATTACCTCTTTTTCAGCCCTACTGACACCAAAAAGAAGAGCCCATATTCAGCATTAATGGAGATTTGGAGTTTCAATGGGATAAACAATGTGTGTTACACCCAGAGAGCATTAGAGCATGAGGGAGAACACGTACCGTCCCAGTGTTTCGTAGTAGTGCGTCCTAATTCAAGGAAGGTACCCAAGGAAGCAAGGAGAGAAAAGAACACCATGTTAGTAGTGTCACATCAGCACAAGTCAGCAAGGGGGAGGGCAGATGGTAACACATGTTGTGCAACTCCTGTGGCCTCCCTCCGGAAGGCATGAATTAGAAAAACCACTGGACTCTTGAGCAATTCTGCACTCACTGAATTTCCTCCATCTTATTGTCCTATTCTGTCCTTTGCTGCAGCAGCATTCCTCCACCTTTTCACATTGCCCACTTTCTGCACTGAAAAAAGATTTCCAGCTCCTTCCTGCTGTTACGGAAATGATTTAAAAAAAAAGCCCTACTGATAAAAATTATACTCCTTTCATATTAGTCATCTGGGTATATACAGCCTGAAAGTTGTCCAGAGAAGGGAATTTGCTTTGCTTTGCTTTGCACACCACTTTCTCAAAACCATGCCTCCCTCATCCCAGCATGACTTTGGTGACCTCTGTGGGATGTGACCCACTGAATGAAAAACACTGACTTCCACAAAGTTCCCCATTGGGCACTAAAGAGATGAATTGCAGTCCCTTTGTCTTTCAGTTAGCAGTTGATAAAACACCTTGCTGTGGTGAAGGAGGGATAAAAAAAGGCTCTTTTTGGTTCTTACAAAGGTTTCTTCATGATAAAGCTCAAAGTCGTCAAGTGTGTTGGTCAGTGAGAGTGCTGCTGCTTTGCAGTGATAATTGATGCACATCTGTTGCACCGTGGGCTTTGGAACAAGTGGAGAACCAGAAGGTTCAATCCAGGCTACAATCTGGGTGATGTCTGGTGAGTGACTTCAGCTAAGGCAGCAATGCTCTGGTGCTTGCATGCATGTTTCTCTCCGTGGTCCCTTGACCCACTTTCTGCTCTGTGAAGCTTACCTTTTGGAAGGTAGTTTCCAAGGAGCCTCCTGTACACGTATAGTGGGTGACAAGGGGGTCCCATGGCCTTCCACTGTGCTGACAGTGCTGGGGTAGCTGGGTGGGCTGGGGAAGCGGCATAGGGCAGTGTTGTTGGCATTGTTGATGTTGGCATTGGAGCCTGAAGATGAGTAGCTGCTGGGAGTGAAGGTGGAGTCCACCAACTTCTCATGAGATGGGGACTCAGTATCTCCCTGGTTGTTGCCAGACTTATTGATGTGCAAAGGTCGCTGGGTGGTGAACGTCTGGGGGAATGCACTCCTGCCATCACTTTGGTAGTAGCTGACATGGTTTCCGAACAAGCCTCCAGCTCTCTGTCAAGGAAACAGAAATTATTCTCCCTTTGTGAGCGAGAAGGTGTGCAAGGGCCCTGGTGTTTCCTGCTTAGCCTGTTGTTAAGGCAAAAAGATGTGAGGACCAAAGTGTGCATGATGGCACTGCTCCTCTCTCTGCCAGAGGACAGTGCCTGGACTCCTCAGTGAGAGAGACTAGGTACACGCAGGCTGTGAAAGCTTTAGCTTTCTAAGATATTTCAGAAGACTGGCCGGATGCATAGTTGAGGCAAAGGCATCTTTATACCTCCCACCAGTCCTGAGAGTGCAGTACTGGGTAGGGATGCAAGAACCAGCAACATTTAGACATTGAGAGGGAATTTAAGAGCAGCAGAAACTATTAATCACCTGGAGGAACAGATAAGAAAGATTTAATGAGCCAGTTATGTACTGTTTAGACGATGAGTAATGAAAGGAACTGACAGCATCTTTCTGTAAGGAAAGGAGGAAAATGCCAAAGGAGAGGAAATATTACCAGAGGAGACAATTACAAGAGATAGGAATGAAATAAGAAAGAGAAGATTTAGGTAACATGCTCAGAAAATTTCCTCTTTCCGTAGGAGCTCTATTGGGTTCTGGTGTACTTTTTGGAGGGATGCTACTTGTGCTACTGAAAGGAAGAGTGAACGAAACACCAAAGTGTGCCTGGCTGCTGCTTTGCAGATTGTGGGATGGCTGAACTGATCTGTTCTTCAGACTCTTTGGCCATTCCCATTCTAATTTTATTTAGGTTTTATGAGGGAAACTTCCATTGAAAAGCAAATGGGGTAAAAACTGTGCCAAGATCTCAGGACCTGGCACCCTGAGTCCACCACTCTAGGGTCTAGAAAACAAGGAGGGCCCAGCTGAAATACAGCTGCATAAAAGAGAATATATCACTCTGAGCTCGGCTACTGGTCTAGCCTCAGCTTGTAAACTTGGTTCAGCACCTACCCGGAAGATATCATCTTCAGAGGCCGCAGAAACAGCTTCTTTCATGGCCTTATCTAGCTCTTCTTCAGCTGTCAGGTCTCCAGAAATTGCTCGTCGGATCTCTGGACCAATGTCGTGAAGTGTGCGCAGACCAGCCTGCAAAACAGCAAACTATAGAGCTTCATATCTCCGAGTGGGTATATGAGAAATAAAAGCAGTGCTATTTCTTCCTAAGCACTGTGAAGCCCTTTAACTTAATATAGCATCCCCAGCTCCTAAAAAACACCAACAAATTCTGTTCTTTTTATCTCCAGCTTAGAGGGAGGAAAAACTCTTAGCACTTCAACCCAGGAATGTTTGCTGCTAGTCCCCTGGCTTCATCGCAACAGGACATAGACATAAATCCACAGGCTTGACTAAGCCTGTCTGCATGCTTTCAACTTTGGGTTCTCAGATCCACAACCAGAAGCCCTAGAGCAGCCACAGTTCCAGCTGAACCATGTACTCAGTGCGTCTGAAAATATCTTGTTTTAAATCAGCAGCTTAAATATGGATTTAATAGCTAAACTTCTGGCATCTGGACCTGGACAGTCCTCAAACCCCTCACCGACTGGAATCCATTCCAGGGAGGTAAGCTGTGGGTATGCTGAGACCTCAGTTTGTATCTGTGCCTGTGTCACAGCACTTTTTAGCTTGTTGGAACTCCAGAGTCACCATTCTTCCTTACTGTACACTTGAGGGAGATAAATGGTGCTGCTTGTACAATCAATGGGGCTTTCTCATTCTTTCACACAGCTTGGTAGTCTATCCAGTGAACATGTAGCACAGTGGTGAACAGATCCCAGGTCTTAGAGCCTGATGCCCCGTCTGTTGGATGGCCTTGGCATCCAGGTATGCTTTTCGTTTTTCAACTGATTTTGCCTTCTGGCAACATTCTCTCCCTGATGCTGCTATAGTGACTCCCCTCAGAAAGGGTAGAATGAATGTGGTAATAAGCAAATGTCTGCTGGACACTTCACACCAGTTCTCTAAAAGGAACCTAAATTTTAAATATTACCAGCAGATTGATAAACTGTGGATATACCTCACTTGTGCCTTCCACCTCTAGAGCTAAGGGATGTGGCCCGTGGTACATACATGTTTATTCAAAAGAATTGGTATGATAGTTCAAGGGGTCTACAAGCTCCTTTCCAATGGGGATAGCCCATTGCAGCCCCCAGAATGGTTGAGAGGGAAGTGGGGTCAAATGCCTCTATTGTACCACCCCTTGAGAGGGAAGTGGGGTCAAATGCCTCTATTGTACCACCCCTGTCCATCCTGTGCCCGCTTGTCACCTGTAAGGAGAGTGCGTTGCGCTGGGAGGGCTTGCCCACTAGTCCCTGTTCTTTACGTTTCTTGAACTTCCGGAAATACTCCTGAATCAGGAAAGTGGCATAGAACTTCCCAACGGTCACCTCGTCATCTGCAAAGGGGTATAAAAGAGGCAATAAATTAAATAAGCAATTGATTTTAAACAGTGTATTTGCTAATGTGAGCCTTGCAATTTGCAGCAGAATCAGTAGGTACCGCAGTACATCTCTGCTTGTTATGGCATCAGGATGCAGGACTGAAGGAGGGGATTGCTTCACAGCCAGAGCTTGATGTAAGCAGTAAGGAGGAGAGGTGCACATGGCTTTTGGATGATCTGGCTCTCCTGGCAGAGAACCCCTATAGCTACACACCTCTGGATGTACATTGTTTATGGTGAACCTTTGCAGTCTCTGGTATTGGTTTATCACATAGGATCTTGCCATAGAAGCAGCCTCCCAGTCTGGATCAACACATGCTGCTGTCTTGTGGTAGCCTCGGGTAATACATACTCAGAGTCTGGGCTCACCAACAGCATCTGACTTGACCATCCACCCCAGACCTGATCTGGCCCTTCTCTGCATTGAAATTTTGTCTGGTTGTGCCTAGCATGGGTGTGAGCGAACCAAAATGATCACCTCTCCTCAGAAATGCAGTCATTGCTGTATTCTCGCTCAATACAAACTGTCAATGAACTGAAACGTGCACTAAGTTTTTATCCAGATAACTCTCCTCCCTTCTCCAAACCCAATGGAAATTTTATAAGACATGGTCCACTGACTTCACAGCAGGCTGAGCAAGGTTCAGGATCTGGCTGCAACTGTTAACTAACTACCAAGCGCTGTTTTGCGCTATAGCCCCTGGAGCCACCTGGAAGGTCAGTGAAGGCCACACTGGATGCCCACACACCTGGGGTCCCAAGAAGCCTATAGCAAAGGAGAATTACCAGAAGCCTGGTAATTACAGCCTACCAGGGATGCTGCATAGAAACCCACAGCAATCTGTTACACCAGTTCAGACTGGCTGAGGAATGTCCCCAGGTATGTGAGTCATTGATAGGTATCATAGTAGAAAGCAGTTACGTGAGTAAAAAAAAGTTATATGCCATAGTAAAGGTAGTTTTGCTAAATATGAAGGGGTTATGAAATGAGACTGCATCTTTAACTTGAGTGTAAAGCCATATCCCTTATGCAGTCAGGTAAAGTCCACATCATCCTCCCTGGAGCTACTTAGCCCTGCCTGCTTCCTTTGCCTCCAGCAGACACCAGGTAATGTCCAGGGGAGCAAATACCTATCATCAAACTGAAGCAAGATCTAGGAATAAAGGTTTCTAATGCCTATTTATACACCTTTTCTTCCTTCTCTGATTTCTCAGCAGGAGTTAGTACAGGCAGAAACAGATCTCAGCCTGATGTAATACAGGTGACAGCTTGTAGAAGAAAGCTTGTCCCCCATATTCCACCTGATGATCATGAGGTACAGTAGGACATGTCAGGTGGGGAAAAAGACAGACTCAGAGCCTGAGACAAGACCCTGCACTCACCACCTGCGGGGGGCACCACCTGGTCCAGCAGCTTCATACTGGTGCGCTTCCAGATTTTCTTAATTATTGCTCTCAGCTCTTCATTGGCTTGCTCCAGGTTACCTGCAGGGTGAAAATCATCAGAGACAGGAATTAAGCAGACCCTGCAGAGGAGCAATTTCACATTTGGCATGGCAATCTTAGGAGGAAAATATCAGAGCTTTTTCAGTAGTGGAAAGTTTTAGGCAAAGAGGTGCTCTGACCATTGCTAAAGCTCCCTCACAGCAAGAAGTCTTCTTCTTAAATATGTATAGTCATTTCAGGGTAGCAAGGTGACTGTATTACTGACTGATAGTCTGAACAGCCAGAAACAACAGAACCATGGTGCTACTTCAATACCAAAAAGCAACAATCTCACCTAACACTTCAAATTTTAATTAAGTATCAGTGAAGATTGAATATGATGAGACTAGAGGTCAGTTAATGGGAAACTACAACTTGGGTAAGACAAATAACTGGTGGTAAAGATGCACCTAGAAATCCGAACGCCTGGGCCTTGCTTGCAGCGCTTCCCAAGAATTACCTGTTGCAATCCCTGCCTCCCAGCAGATACCAAGTTCTTCACATGGTGCCAAGAGTCTACCTTGGAGAGTCTGCACACTGCTCTGACAAGGCATGCTGGGCATGTGCAAGGCTTTCTCTATTCAACTCAGAGGACTGTCCCAGGATATTTGTGTTTATTCTCTGAAGACCAGCATAGGCTATAAAAAGCCTTTTATGTAACCGTCTGAACTTAGACATTACATGTTCCTCCAAGGGGCTCTGACCTAAATGAGACATTAATCAAGGCGCACTACCCCTTGAGAGTGAGTGAAGCAGATTTGGTTTATATCCTTCCCTTCTAGGTACTCATTTCCTCCCAAATGACTCACCTTTGATTTTATTTCTGGATTTATGTACATTCAAACCCCTTATAATGGAAGCTCTCTTCTCTCACTATGTGTACTAAACCACTACCTTCTCCTCCTAAAGGTGCTGTTCTTGCAGCTTTTATTATTGGTCCCCAGCATTAAGGCTTCTCAACGTGCTGCACAGGGGTCTGCATGCCAGTAGCTCTCCTAATAGGATGCAGTGAAGATAGGGACACCAAGTAACTTGCTGAGGATGAAATAGGTGGACAGCATCAAAGGCAGAAATCTGACTCGGGAGGGCTAATTCCAAACTCCTGCCCTAACCACTTACCAGATCCTGCTAAGGCAAGAAAGCAAGCAGTTTGAGGCTTTAGGTGGTTTCCCAGGAGGTCACTGGCAATGACTCTGAGAGTTTGAGGCTCAGACAGGAAAATTGAGTCTTTTTTGGGTCTCTGTTTCATAAGACACAAGATGTCCTACAGGGGTTGTGGTTGGCTTTTTCCTCAGGAGAGCCTCTTTGGCTACAGTCAAATTTTGTTTAGCATAACATCCAAGGCCTTAATATAATTTTAAAGTTTCACCACTTTTTTGGCTCAGCTGTCAGTATAATCCTGGCACGGTAAGCTAGGGTTCTGCTGGTCTCTGCTTTCCCATGCCTGAAATGTAATGCAGCCACTCCTGAGGCAGCAATGCTTAGCTCTGAATCACAGACCTACACGCTCTTTTAGGGCATCTGATCAATACATGAAGCCAGGTTTTGACTCAGGACCAATGTCTTTCATTACAGCAGGCGACAGAGTGCAACAAAGGGGACAAGCTGAGCCTAAAATCTTGTCTGCTTTCCCCAGCTATACCCGCTGGTCTATTAACAGGCCCTTTCCTTTTCATACATCTTTATGATGTGCCTACAACACTACTGTGACTACAATGTGATGTTAACTCATGCTAGTGGAAGCACAGGAGGAGTTTTAGTGAAGTGAGACCCTCGAGTCCAAGCTCTTTTGCCTCCCTTGGATTGGAAGATCAGTGGCAACAGCAGTCAAAAAGCAGCACTGCTCTGCAGCCAGTTTGCACAAGGGGAGATTTCTTTGCCCTTCTTCCTTCCCCTGACTGCTGTTTGAGCAGACATTGATCTAAAACTTTTCACTCTGAGAGCATTGTAAGGAATGTGATCAATAATCTGAGATGATACTATGGGAAGCACCAGCTTTCTAGGTAACTGGAAACACTGTTCTCTCCCTAGAAGATATTACTTCTCCAAAGATCTTTACATTGCTTTTTGTACGATGTGCCGCATATGAGTAACTGGGATCATTTTACACAAGGTGTCCTTTGTCCTTATTGTTGTTATTCCAGCTCAGCACACTTTGGTGTGAACACCCCTGCAGTCAGCAAGCTTCTTACCTTCTGTCTTGATCCTCAGTGCTGTTCTGACCAACGCAAAGAGAGTGGCATTGAACATGACAGTCCCATCACTGTTCAGTGGCATATTCATGGAGACAAGGCGCTGTGGAGTAAGGAGAAGAATGAGAACAATCATACGGCCAACACACGGACAGAAGCCTGCTGTTCCTTATGCCCTCATGATGCCCTCCAGACCTGCCACCCCTTTTATGTGAGCATCCGTGGTGTGTGGATTTAGTTACACAATTATAAACGTACTTGTCATACCCACCGATGGTCCCAGCTGTGGTGTATTTGCCCTGGGGTCTCTCTCCATTGCTAGGTGCTCTGTTTTCTTCAATGTGGCTGTCACTTTCTAACATTTGTTTTCCCCAGTGGCCAGTGGGCATTTGCCCACAGTGTATTACGCAGACAGAGATTTGTTCCAGTCCCTAAACCATTTGGCTTCTAAATGACACATTTTTTTCTTATCAGAAGCAAACTGTTTTTTTCATACCTCATGAGGCACTTGCAAACTCACCTGCACTAACCCTGTGCCTGGTGTAAATGTGTATAAACTGAGAGCCAGGATCTTTTAGGTGATAGGCTTGAAGAAAGGGGATTAGCTGAACCTGAAAGCTGGTCTGCTTTATCCAACTATTCCCCCTCTCCCTTTTAAAACAAGGCTGTGTCTGCCCTGCAGTAATTCTCTAAAGCCACGTAGGACAGAGAGTGAATGTTGAGTACTGTTGCAGCGGCAGGGTGGACTCCAGTGAGACCAACCGCATGTATCTGAGACAGATGTAGCAGTGTCACCAGATCTTCTGTCCTTACTTCTGTCTCAGGAGGTAAGAGACAGCAGGGACTTGGTTTGAACCCTTATGCTTTCAGGGGTTGGTTTTGTTTGAGCTCTGTCTTCTGCCACTTTCATGCAACAGGCCTGGTTCAGTACCAAATTGGAGGAAGGGGTGTCACTCCCCATCACTACTGCTGCAATCATAGACTGGGGGGGTTGGACCAGATCATTGCTGGTCATGCATCATGACAACAAAAAATTGCCAGACAGCAGACTGAAAGGGATCAGCAGCAGGCCACAGAAGTCATATATTTCTGTGTACAGGCCCCAGGCTTTGTATTTTGCTCAGAGACTGATATAAAAAACAGCTACAAGTGTCGCATACAAACTCTGGGACTTGCAAGGAGATGAATAAAGAACTTAAAGTGAAGGAAGCATAAAGGTTATAAACATGCCGTTATTCACTAGAGAGAGTCCTTTTTCATAGCTGGAGTCTCACAGCCAAAGAAATGAGTGGGACATTTTTCACAGAAAACTTGTTCTTGCCCTTCCTGTATTTTAATGCCACACTCACCTTGCTGTTTAACATCTGTTGGTTATTTAAGCTAAAATGAGAGATAACACTAGTATTTTGGTGCACTGCTTAGTCTAAAGAAAATCTCAGAGGTATTTTTACTTGCCCTGTTATTTCTGTCCATCCTAATCTGTCTTGGGACGTGTGCTTGATACCACAACCGCGTGTGTGGTGGATTCAGTGCTCGGTGTTCGAGAGCTGTGGTTAGCATGGATGCTCTCCTAGCTAAGGAGAGGGCTGGTGGTGCGCTGATGCCTCTGACTAGTGGGCAACCCGCCTGCTGTTGACCCTCCAGCCCTCGGCTAGGTTGCTGCTGCCCAGAGGAGTCGGGGAGCAGTGTGGGCTATTGAGCTGCTGTGACTCCCAGCCTTCCCCCAGCCGCAGTGTGCCTTACTTTGCAAGCCACCCGGTGAGGGCAGAGCTTCCCGAAGCCCAGGGGGGGCTGAATCCGCCGGAGCAGCGTCACCACGTCCAAGTGTTTGATCCGTCCCCTAAAGAAGAAAGCACAGTGAGGGTCGCATCCTTACCACAGGGTGATCTGCTGATCTGCCTGTCAGTCTTAGGGCTATAGCAGGCACAGAGGTGCAAAGGGTCTCTTTTCTCCTGGCGCTTTACCTCCCGTATAAACAGCCCCAAGCCACTGTCTTCTGATACTTGTTTGCGCTTTGGGCTGTCACTGGAGCAAGTGCAAAGCAAAGTGCTGACGACCCTGCACAGAAGCAGTTGGGTTTCTTTTAAGATCATTAAATGGCATCTCAAAAGAAGAATTCTCTCACGGAAGGAAGGAGAGCTACCAGAGCCAGAGGTGGGGCTTCAAGCATTGGACGTGGATAGGGAAGAGGAAAAAAAGAGATTCCCATTTATAGATGAGAAGGAACACAATGTCATCTGGACTGAGTGGCTATCTATTATACGTCTTCAGCCACCACAGTCTTGCCTTCAAACAAGCACAGACAGTAGCATCTGTTTTGTTAACAAACCATATATTTATTAGAATTCTGTGCTTATCTCCTATCCCTATTAAAAGTCTCTCTGAGCAGTCACCATGGATGGGAAGAAGGGTTTCGATTTACATGTCACTCTGATAATGTGACATGGCCCCACATATTGCAGAACCTGAGCCCAAATTAATCTTGACACTATGTCTCATAAAGAGATCTGCTTTCAGTTTATGCCAAGATCTCTTTCCACAGTTTTTGCGTTATGAAAGGGGCTTTGCAATTACAATTGTCAACTGTACTGTAATGCCACAGGAATCTAAATGTACTTTAAGCCTAAGCATGTGTCAAACAGAGCATATAATACTGAATGTCAGTTAAGCCCTTGTGTAAGTTGTTCTTGTGTAACTTTAAATCCCTGCAAGTCTGATGATGTGAATAACCCTGCAGACAACGTAATGCAGCCGTGTGAGGGTACAGGCTGCAATGGGCCTATATGACATACAACAAAACAGACGTTTGAGCGCAGCAGCTCTGCTGTGAGTAGAAAGTCAAATAGAAGAGTCACAACTCAATATCCCAAACACATGCAACAATAAGCCAACCCTCTGACCTCCTTTGATCAGTCGCCTGCTGCTCCTCCCTAAACAGTCTATAATCTCCCCCTAACTGAAAGTGAAGCAGTGTCCTGCCAGGTAACAGTGCAGCCTAAATGCTGAGATTTTTGTGTGTATCCTTGCACTGCTGGCTTGTGGATTCACCAGCAATACCTTGTGGAGGTATCTATTTTAGGCTTTTTGCAGGAAAAAAGTGTTCCTGCAGAAGGAACATGGCACTTACTGTACTGGGTCTAGAGAACAGAAAATAACAGGCCTGTTCGCCCAAGGAGCTCTGATATCCAGTCAGGGCTACTTACTTGGCTTCAGGGTCATATTCTGCCCAGATCCTTTTAAATTCATCCAGGTGGTGTGGTCCTAAAATGGACCAGTCCCGTGTCAGGTAATCAAAGTTATCCATTATAACAGCTACAAAAAGATTGATGATCTGCAAACAAGGACAGAGATGACTTGATGGATGAGGCAGGTAACAGTAGACTTTACTGGGTTCTCCATTTAAGGTCTGGATTTGGACTCATAAAACTAGGAAGCCACTGGGGGTGGGTTCTCTGTTCCCCCATGCCAGGCCCGCAGTTTAAATGGGAAGATCCCAGGGGCGGGATATTCTCAGCTGGTCACATTTTTCTCTTCCCTACTGAATGCATGAGGCCCAAGTTTGCTGAATGCTTAGACATGCTGTGATGGCTCTTCATTTACCCATGTCTTTGCCCAGCAGAACAGGGTGCTGGTGGGAGAACCCAGGATTTATCCTTCACAGGCAATGGGGCTGAGATAAAAGTCCTTTCTTCTGGCCCCAGACCAAAACTTTTAAAATGTTGCTGCTGTTCACTGGGAGAGTTTTGTGCACTGATGCCAGCTGCAGAGCATGTGCTGTCACTCTGAGCAATGCCGCATTGCCAACACGGAGCAGATGCAAGTGGGATATGTGTATTCTCACAGTCATTGCTGCTGGCAGAGGAGGAAAAACCTTCTCAGCAGCCAGAAGGAAGGTAGGAGGAGAGGTGGGAAGTGTAGCTGAGGCGTTGCTAGCCTCAGCACAGCCCACAACACGCTAATTTGGTTTTCTCATTGAGGGGGGGAAAGAGCGCTCCTTTGCTGCACACAAAGGATTGGGATTTGAAGCAGAGCATTCCCCAGAGCTGGAGGGGGGCAGGAATGGCAGTGACCAAGGGGGTGTTGTCACTGAAAGGGTGCTGCTGGGAAGGACCCCATGGGGAGATTCTGCCTCTTTGAGATCATTCTTCTGCTCTGCAGTGCTGATATCTGGGGAGGCAGGGGCTCAGTCTGACAGAGGGCAGGTTTTGGTTGCTGGGGCAGACTCACCAGGAAGGCACAGAGCATGTAGAAGCTGATGAAGTAGAAGACGGCGAAGCTGCTGCCACAGGAGTGATCGGCTTCGGTGGAGTTGGCCGGCTCCGACTCTGGGTCGCACTTCTTGTCTGGGAGACATGCCAGCATGATTTCCTGCCAGGCCTCACCGGTGGCACACCTGGGCATGGCAAAGGGCAAGGGAAGACAGCAGTGACCTTTGATGTGAGAGGGACTGGCACATTAGCAATCTGTTCCCGCTCCTGTGAACATTAATGGGAATTTTGCCACTGAGGTCAATTAAGAGCAAGTTTAAGCTGATGGCTGGGCTTTGGCATACACTGGCATACCCTGCTCCTCTTTTTTGCTTTGTTGCCATCATCAGCATGTTGTTCCTGACTGGCTTTGCCTAGTCTGGCTATGGGGCTGTCATCCTGCAACCAGCCAAAGTCATCGAGATGTGTGTGACATGGCTATGGATTGCATGAAAAAACTCCCTGAAAACGAGGGGAGTGTGTTGAATTTGTGCCAACTCCCCACCCCTTCAGCACCCCTCCCTGGCACACCTGGCCACAGCTGGAGCAGGATGATGTGCTAAGCTGAGCTGGGCATGGCCATGCCAAAGCACGAGTGGGAGTTCATGTCCCTTTCCCTGCTAAAATAAGCTGGAAGTCATACCGGCTCGATTTGAACGAAAGGAGGAGTTTGCTATGCAGATCAACATTCAAGAGCACTGAAAACTGGCTACCTTCCTTCTGAGTAGGAGGACTTGCCTCCCTCCCCAGCACTGAGCGTTGGCCAGTGTCAGATGGCAGGGTACAAGGACTGGTCGTTTCATCTGACGTAACTCCTAGGCTCCCCCACTAAGGGACAACATGTTTCTACTCACCTCGTGAGCATGACACGGTAGAAGGAGATAAGCTGTGCCCAAGAGCAGAGGAATTGTGCTCCCAGGCTGACACAATCCAGAGCTGTCAGACACCCACCTGAAAAGCAGCAGCACTGCCTGGGGGAAGGTCTGGAAGTTGTTGTTGCGGTTGATTTCTGTGGTATCATTCAGCGCAATTTTACCAAACACCTGGCAGAAAGCAGAGGTCTTTTCAGGTTAGCCCTGCAAAATCCCCAAGCCTCTTGTCACCTGTAGCTCTTGGCCTCACCCTGACTCTGATACTTAACAGAATCTGCTCTCCTCTTAAAAAATCGTTTCCACAGGTCTTTTGTATTTGCTGTTGCTTCCCTTACTTGTGCTTTATCACTCGTTTTGTAACAAGAGGCATCTTTTGTTAAAACAAAACATCCTTCCTTATTTCATATACTGTGAATACGTGATATAGGGCCTTATTTTAACAGACACTCACATGGGGAAGTAGTCCAGCTGAAAGAAATCAATAACATGGAAGAAAAGGCTCCTTCCTACATTGCTTATCTGTCTTCACCAGGAGAAAATGATAGCAAAAGACCAGCAGCTGCAAAGCCTTCAGCTTCCAACTCTGTGGGGTGCCTTAGATCTTCCCAAAACAATATAAAGTACGTTGCCTTGGATCTGGAGTTTGTCCAAATGCTTTCCCTTCTAGTGGCCATGCTTGTCACCAGCAGGTGTTTCAGCCCCCCCAAAGAATGCAGCAGTGTGAAGGTGATGACTACATTTGCCCAGACAAGGATGGCTTACAGCTTCCTTCCATGCCCAACCAGCCGTCGCTGCACCAACTAGTTCATCCAGCCACAGCACGAAGCCTGCAGCTATCGGCAAACCCTTTCAGGGGCCTGCCCTCAGATGTGAAGTCCCCAGCGTGGGAGAATTTCAAACTTCTTTGAAAAAGTCTTATACAGCTGTGGGCACTGGGACTGAGAGCTTAACAAACCTTGCCTGGCAGAAAGGTCCCTGCACAGCGTGGTCAGTCAGGACTGTTTATTCCCCATCGATGGCAACGTGACGGACATCTCAAGGACTGAGCGCTGTAATCACGTAGCCAAAACGAGCAGCAGGAACAGAGCAGCTCTGATAGAACATGGAGCTTCTTTTCAAGCAAATGTCACTGATAATTAACAGCCCAAAAGAAACAATGATGTGGGGAGAAGCGCAGGGACAGAGGCAGGCGGGAGAAGCCCTGGCAGGCTTTCTGCAGGGGTTCCTCATGGACATGTGGGCCTTCCCCAAGCCCAACCGCCCCCACGCCGCTGGTAGCAGTGACAGCCCCAGCTGCACGGAGGAGGAGCTGGAGGACAGATTAAATGCTCAGAGGCAGTTTGAGCTGAGGCAGCCCATATTTTTCATTTCAGGCAAGGATAGGCAAGGGAACTTCCTATGCTGGAAGTCTGATTTCCCTTTTGACCCTGCGCCTTCCTTCACATATGATGCACCAGTGGCAGCTACTACGAGTGCTTTGCATTAGGCACCTACGAGGAGCTGCAGGTAGAGGCTCCTCTCTCATGGCCTCTCCAGTCGGTGCCTCCTGGGCCATGATATGAGCGGCTTCATCCATCAGCATCGATTGGGATTTTTCCAGTTGGGCACATTAGGTAGCGAGACTTGAATGTTGTTACACTCCAAGGCCGGGCAGTAGCTGAGATAAAGTGGTAGGTCTCCTTTATGTGGGAAATTCTTATCTTTTCATCAGATCTGGTACACCTAGGCTTTCGAGGTAGCTGCTTAATGTAGTGAGGAAGGATTTTCCTTCCTATGTGTCCCTATGTGTGAGGGAACTCAGTGTCAGCAGATTCAAGAGAGCAGCACACAAAATGTCTGAGATGCCATTTGGACAAAAAGTGATGATAACAGTTCTGTGGGCTCTGAGCAAAGAGGGGAGATGAGAGAAGTTGGTTTTCTCGTTGGAAGACAGGAGGGCAGGAAACAATCTAGTAATCTAGATGAATGTGAAAGACAGATCTATGATCTTCAGGCTGCTGAGATGATTAAAACAGAGACTTGAACGTAAGCCAAGAATTAAATAGCCAACTTAGAACTAGCTGACAGGAAAGGGAATAGAATTACAGAATAAAATATCTAGCCCTGGCAGTGCCCTGATCATTGTAGACCCCATCTGCCTGGGTGCTTGGAAGCCATTTTTAATGCTTTGTGTAGCTACATAGCACTAGTGTAGTACTCTCAAGTGATTTTCTGTATAGCACAGGTAATCCGGTAAGATCTTGGCCATTTGAGCTAGTTAGGTATTAAAGGCAAAACTGGCAAGATTACTGTATGAGCCTAGTAGACTAAATGACAGCTGTAATTACTGGGGGCAGTTGGGATAACCTATGATAATTGAAGAAAAGATTAGTTTTATTTTTCAAACTGGGGGAGGGTAGATGGAGTCTGTGAAAAGATGTGATTATAATAACAGGAAACAAATTAAAACAAGGTCACAGAGGTCAGATGAATTTTGTTACAAATTCTGTTGGCATTGTGAAACCAAGAAGCCCGTCATGTTTGAAGACCTCTGGAAGCAATTATGCCATGCTTTTCTATACTTTGGTCTCTGGTCCCAGGTGGCTGACTTGCCTGAGATCTTTGATTAACACTGAAGTGGAAAGTGAAGCTTGGTTTGAAAAGCAGCACAGAAAATGAGGCTGGGACTGTCACAAACTGTTCCTGTATCACATGCTTTCTTCAATGGTCTGTATGCAACATCAGTTCCTTGCACAGATGAATGCTTAGGTAGGTTCCAAGTTCATTTTGCAAACTGAATAGGAAATTGTATTGATGCAGCTTCCTGAAGAACTGGCACAAACACAGAGTGTTGGTATGTTGGGTCTGATCCCATATTTACCTTCATGGATGTAAATCAAAAGCCACTCTTTACAGCTCAGTGGAAGTTACGCCAGTGTGAAAGTGATGCAAGAGAAAAATTGCGTTTGTTCAGTGCAGCACAGCCATAAGCCCACTGAAATGACTATTTTGAACCAACAAGTGAAGCAGTAAATCTCCCTTGCCAGTGCTGCTGGGTATTCCTTTGAGAGTGTGGAGGGAAGGCACAGTCCTTTTACTATTTGCATATTGAATTCTGCCATTAAATGGGTAATTTTAAATTTTTTTTTTTTTCTGGAGTGTTTTGTGCTCCTGTTGGAAGTGCATAGGCAGGCAATGTTTTCCAACCAAGGTTAGCTGCTGTCTTACCTTACTGGGCGAAAACATTCTTGTAAGCCCCTACAACCACACATTCATCTAGTTACTTTATAGTTCAGTTCCCAAAACTCTAACAGGAGAAGACAGACACAATTGAACTATTTAGCATAACTTACCTGCATCCCGATCACAGCGTAGATGAAGAACAACATCACTATTAAAAGAGCCACATAGGGGAGAGCCTAGAAATAAAAAAAAAAAAAAAAAAAAAAAAAAAAAAAAAAAAAAAAAAGAGGGAAAAAAAAAAAAAAAAAAAAAAAAAAAAAAAAAAAAAAAAAAAAAAAAAAAAAAAAAAAAAAAAAAAAAAAAAAAAAAAAAAAAAAAAAAAAAAAAAAAAAAAAAAAAAAAAAAAAAAAAAAAAAAAAAAAAAAAAAAAAAAAAAAAAAAAAAAAAAAAAAAAAAAAAAAAAAAAAAAAAAAAAAAAAAAAAAAAAAAAAAAAAAAAAAAAAAAAAAAAAAAAAAAAAAAAAAAAAAAAAAAAAAAAAAAAAAAAAAAAAAAAAAAAAAAAAAAAAAAAAAAAAAAAAAAAAAAAAAAAAAAAAAAAAAAAAAAAAAAAAAAAAAAAAAAAAAAAAAAAAAAAAAAAAAAAAAAAAAAAAAAAAAAAAAAAAAAAAAAAAAAAAAAAAAAAAAAAAAAAAAAAAAAAAAAAAAAAAAAAAAAAAAAAAAAAAAAAAAAAAAAAAAAAAAAAAAAAAAAAAAAAAAAAGAAAGAAAAAAAAAAGAAGAGAGCAGTGTGTCTCCACCGAGCCCGGCACACTGGAGCCTAGTTCATGCTCCTGGCTTTCGGAAACTGGGAAGAGGCTGGTCCCAAACGTGGAGTCTGTAATTTGACCAGGTGGCCACTAGATGCCTCTACAGGCCCACATTTTCTTGCCTTGCCCGCCACCGCGCTGCTGCCACCCAGCTCAGGCAGGCTTTGACTCTGCTCCCACTCGTGATGATGTAGCTCTGCTGCCTTCAGGTCAGTCCTGCCCTTGATGGAGTGAGGAAAGTGAGGGCAAAAACCGTCTACAGCTGCTTACCAAGAGGAGAAAACTCCCATAACCTGCATTATTCTGGCACCAATAGCAATGTGTTTTTTTTCTGGATCCAGTCTGGTGAAATAAAAACCGCAACAGCTGCCGAGATCCAAATTCAAGGCTTCTGCTACAATGGCTGGTACCACCCTAAGTACCTAAAGCAGCATCAGCTTTGTGCCCTGTTCAGTGTCAGGTGTCTCTGATGGTGTCTGCAAGGCACTAAGTGTCTGTGATCAGCTGCTGAAGAGGAAACGCAGAGCCCTGATACGCAGCACTGCCTCGTAAGGAAGAGGCCAGCGCAATCAGCAAAGTGTTGAGTGCTGTCGGTCTCCCCTGCCACTAGCAAGAACCAAGGGTGCAGCTCAGGACCTCACAGGCTCAGGCTTTTGAGGAGGAATTTTCTACTCTGTTGCTTTTGAAATATATAGTGCTCAGACCAGAGATTTCCAGACCTTACTTCAGAGGCAATGGGTGGACACATTCATCCTGAAAATGTGAGTACAGTCCCTGATCTGGATTTTGAACACCCCATTTCACAGAGTATAAAAAGCCTACAGCATTACTATTTTTTTAATGTAAAATTATTTACAACTTTTATGCCTAAATTCAACAGTGCTAAATCCTATAGGAAGAATTGAGGAAAAATTTTCACTGACCACTATGGAGATTTGACTAAGATCAGCAGAAATCATCTCAAAGAGATCTGAATATTAAAATGGCAAAACCTAAAAGTTTTAGACAATGTCTGTAATCATTATCTTGAGGCTCAGAGGCAGATTCCTCTGTATTTTACGGGATCAGATGAATCTGTATGGTTACCCCACAATGTCAGTGGAGATATAGCAGCTCAGAATTGGGCTCCAAGCATTTTGTGATTATCTAGTTGGGACTTGATACACACAAGACCTAAGAAGAGCTCCTGGGATAGTGTCCAGACAGTGCATAACTTTACCAGTTCTCTTATCTTTCAAATGGGGATGGGAAAAGTGTCTTCTCTCCTGGCCATCTGGTCCTCCACTTTCTTTCCATGTTCTTCTGCTCAGCCCAGTTCTCTCCACTGACGCACCTTCCTACTCATCTCTGCCCCTTATTGTCCATGGCTCCTTCAGCTCCTCTCTTCAGCTCCACTCTTCTGGCTCTGTCCTTCCCCCTCTCTGTCCTTCCCTGGCTTTACCACTTTGTCCTTGTGATTCCCACGGCCTTGCCTTGCCCTCAGCATCCCCTCGCTTCCGACTCCTCCCGCTCACCAGCATGGGCTCTGCTACTATCTCGGCAGGCGGAAACCCCGCTGAGCATTTTCCCACCACACGCCCTTCTGACCGGTGCCCCAGCTTGTATGCAAGCACTGCATGCCACGCACGCAGCACGTGGTAGTTACGATGGGATCTGAAGGCCAGCAGAAGTTCGTTGCTGATTAGGCTGCCCTATGCAAGTAAAGACGCTTCCTGGAAGCATGTGGGGACACAGAGAGGAGCCTGTGCCAGACAAAGCCTGCAGGGATCCCAGATTTTGACAGTGGGAGAGGCTGAGTTAAGAGCGCTCTGCACAGGGGCTGTTCTTAGCTACCAAAGGAGCCTCCCAGCAGTTGCAAGAGGAAGAGTTCTGAGCAGAGAATACCATGTTATATGTGGCTAAAGGCTTTCAAGGGAAAAGCACTTGCTTGCAGTGCTTTCTCCACCCCCCCTGCTGTGGAAGATACCTCCCTTGATACTTTCTCCCATCACCCTACAGCCCTGCCTAAAAGTGACTCTCCAACCAAAGAGGCCTGAAGGTCACGGGAGAGAAGTACTAGGCACTCCCTTTCCCATCCATCTCATCCTCTCAAGCCAAGAGCCATGGCAAGCTGAGATCAGGATAAGAGCGAGCTATTGCTAAAGAGGCAGAAAGGGGGCAAGGGGAGGAGAGACAGGAACTGGAAAGTGTGACTCTGTCCCCTGCATCAGGGATGGCTGAGCTGTGCCAGGGGAATCTCATTCCTAAGCGTGCAGGCAAAATGGTTCCCACCAGAGCTGCTCAAATAACAACCTGGAAGCTAGCAACCATGTAAGCAATGGAAAAATTCGCTTGTGGTATGGATGTGTCAGAAAACCGCTGTGCAATATTAGATCCCCTGGCAGTCAAGGAGTGTGAAAAATGAGAGTCCTTTGCATGAGCCTGGTGGTCTGGCTACCGAGGCCACCCGAGAGCTGCACTGGGAAAGGTCCAGATTGATCCCTCTTGTACACATGTGCTACTTCTGCTGACAAAGACAGAAGTGGTGGTGATCCACAGCACTGCAGGCTTTGGTCCCAGCTTGTGTTGTAGCTGGTGAGGTTTAAGTTTTAAAGCGTGGATCAGCTCCTTTTGCCTTTGAGTCAATGCAAATGCTATCGACCATTTAGAGCCTCCATCTGAGGGATATATGGTTTCTGTTTCAAGACTTCTGTGTTGCACAACTTTGTCATGCTTTTCCCAGTGGTGTGTCCTGCATCTTTTCCCGTGTTTAGACTGCCATTTGTATTCCTGTGCTGTCTTTCCCTGATGCTTCCTCCAGACCTGCCCCAGCTAACATCCAGGTTGTGCTGGCCCAGTAAATCCAGGTCAAGTACTTGTAAAATCCAGGAGTACACTATGCTTCATCTCTCACTACCAGTTTGCTATAGGTGGCTAGGTTAAGAGCTGGTTTGGAAGCAGTTTCTCTAGCAAATAGCAATCTCTTGGTATTTGTTTTGCCCCAGAGGCGATGATTCTTGTCCAGTCTGGTCTCCTTCACCTTGCCCTATCTACTCTGGTACTTTATCTACCACTAAAATGCAACCTGCCTCCAAGACAAATGCAGCAGCCATTTAATAACTTGGCCAAAAGTGTGGGGCCAAAAAGGTGAAATTCTTCCTGGATGAAAGCATGGGGGGCCACACACCTCTAATACTCACTGGAAATTCTCAAAACAAGGCTCAAGGGAAACTTAATTGAGGCCCAGGCCTTCCCCATAGCTGTGTATTTCACTTAAAGCAACAGACATAAAATACAGCTAAAATAGAAAAAAAAAAGAGAGAGGAGATTGAAGGGTTACTGACAGGCGGTAATTGAATGGAACTGAACTATCAGGGCTGTTCAGGAAGGTCTCAAGCAATTACTCGTGCTTTAAAGATGAAACTCATACCCAGGCAATCGTCCCCTGCGAGCCCCATTTACTTGACAGCCATTCATGCCACGTGTCACTGGTGCGCACAGCTCTGGCCAGCAGCCCTTGAGCTCAGGCACTTGGGTGAAACCCCTCCCCGAGAGGCCACTAAGGGGAAATAAAAAGGAATTAGGTCTTACTTAGAGATAAGCGAAGGAATACCTGGAAGGACTTGATGAAGGTCCAAAGCAGTGTCCGGATGCCCTCCCCTCGGCTCAGGAGCTTCACGAGACGCATCACGCGGAAGAGTCGGAAGAAGGTGATTGAGATGCGAGAGTTTTCCTCTGCGTTCTGGAAGCCATTGGCACAGAGGCAGAAGTTACAACAGCACAGGAGGAACAGGGTCCCTGGGCCACAGAGGACGCTACGCCGAGAGCTCACTGCACTGTTCCTTGTCCTGGTACCGCTCCCTGGGCTTGCACTGACCTGGCACCCCAGGGACGGGCCGAGGCCGTGGTGGTGAAGCTACTCTATGGGGCATCTCGAGGCCATCAGCCTTTCCCTTCAAGCTGCCTGGACTTTTGGGGATTAGGGATATATTATGCTATAAACCCCTGCATTACGTCTCCTCCTCACACTGGCAAGATGCAATTCTGCTTTGACATTGTACCAGAGGAGAAAGATACTTCCTCTTTCGACTTGCCTCGGATGTTTTACCCCAGCAAGCGCCTCAGCCAGCAGTTCTGGTGAACCTGGTGTCGGGCATGCTTGCTCTGCTGGGAAACAGTAGCAGGTCCCAGGTCTGCTCCAGGGTGCAAAACCCCGCGGGGGCACGGCATGCGCTGCCCCG